CCTGCAGGAGGGGCGGCTGCACGACAACGGCAGCCTGCAGCTGAACGCCACTGGACTGGTGCTGGGCCCCGCCAACTACTGCCTGGAGCACATCCTGGAGCACGCCGGGGGCGGCTCCCCCAGCGTCATCACCTGCCGGCGCTACCTGGGGGCCGAGGGGCCGCCCGCCCCGTCCCTGAAGCTCACCATCTACCCGATCGGGCTGGCGGTCAGCGCCATTTTCCTGGCGGCCACCCTGGCCGCCGGCTCCCTGCTGCCCTCCAGCCACCACGTCCTGCATTGGCGCTGCCAGACCAATCACGTGGCCTGTCTGCTGGTGGGCGACGTTCTGCTGTGCATCACCCAGATAGCCGGCGGTCACTTTCCCTTCTGGCCCTGCTTTCTCATCGGTAAGGAGGCGGCAACGCCGCAGGCGCCCCAGTGTCAACAGCGGCCACTGATTGGCCGATGCGCGCGATAATGACCGAATAAGGGCAGCTGCGGCGCTGTTGCCGCAGTTCGTTTCGTAGAAATCACGGGTAATCGGCGGCGCGCCACTGGCCCATTGTGTTTGTCGCATTGTTTGTTATCGTCCACAGTGCGCCCTCGTGATAGAAGCGCCTTCAGGCGCCCAGCGGCGCGCGTTTCCTTAATCTCGGGATGAATGGCTCTTCAACAAAGAGCTGAGCAGCTGGTAGCACAACAAAAACCAGGAAATGATGGAGTTTGGAGGGTTTTTTGCGCCCGAACAGGGCCGTGCCCGTAGGGCTCCACGCGACTGGTTGGGTTTCGGTCGCAAAATGACGATCGCCCAGAGAACGTTTATACGAGAAAACGTTACAAACTAATTAAATCCCCATATTCACGCTAAACTTTCTGCAGCGGCGTTGCCATATGGCCCAGAATGTTAACTGTAAGCAGTAAAAGCCATTTTGCCCTGTGGCAACGTGCAARTATGACCCATTATTGCACCGAACYCTGCCTTTKTTTGACATTTGTCAATTTTTTTCATTTTCAAACGTTGAGTGTTTTCCCGGTGCATTGTTGACTTTTTGTTCSATTTTTTTTATTTTTCTTCGTATTTTCTTATACTTGCAAGGTSCAAGTTTGATCGATTATGCACGGGGAAAATAGGTGGCAACAATGCCTTTTTTCGGCATTTGTGAAATTTTTTCATTTTCAAAAGTTGAGGGTTTCTTTCCGGTGCATTGTTGACTTTTTGTTCGATTTTTTTGTTTTTCTTCGTATTTTCTTCTGTGCAAGAGGAGATCGAAGACWAARCCAGAAAYGGTTTCKTAGGCAATAAAMCGCATTTTGCCTTGTCGCAACGTGCAAATTTGATCGATTATGCACGGRGAAMGTAGGTGGCAACACTGCCTTTTTGGATGTTTGTGAAATTWGTTCATTTTCAAAAGTTGATGGTTTTTTTCCGGTTCATTGTCGATTTTTCGTTCGATTTTTTTGATTTTTCTTSGTATTTTCTTCTGTGCAAGAGGAGATCGAAGACAATTGAAACTAAACCAGAAATGGTTTCTTAGGCAATAAAACGCATTTTGCCTTGTCGCAAAGTGCAASWCTGATCGATTACGCACGGGGAAAATAGGTGGCAACAKTGCCKTTTTTCGGCATTTGTAAAATTTTTGTATTTTCAAAAGTTGAGTGTTTTTTTCCGGTTTGTTGTTGATTTTTCGTTCGATTTTTTTATTTTTCTTTGTATTTCCTTCTGTGCAAGAGGAGATGGAAGACAATTGAAACTAAACCAGAAGTGGTTTCTTAGGCAATAAAACGCATTTTGCCTTGTCGCAACGTGCAAATTTGATCGATTACGGCCGGGAAAATAGGTGGCCTTTTTTGACATTTGTGAAATTTTTTTATTTTCAAAAGTTGAGTGTTTTTTTCTCAATGAAACTGCRCGGTGAAGCAAATTCAGAAAAACCCTCGAAACTCGGACAGACGTAAACTGCATGAGCACCAGATTGCGTTGCCAGACTGCCCAGACTGTCAAATGTAAACGGAAAAATGCAAGTTTTTATTTTTCTTCGTATTTTCTTCCGTTGAAGAGGACATCGAAGACAAATGAAACTGAACCAGAAGGGTTTTTGAAGGCAATAAAAGGCATTTTGCCTTGTCGCAGCGTGCAAATTTGATCGATTATGCACGGGAAAAATAGGTGGCAACACTGCCTTTTTTTGCATTTCTGAAATCTTTTCATTTTCAAGTTGCTTGAAACTGCTTCATTTTCATGGTGCTTTAAGGAAAAATGCGGTTTTTTTTCAAAGAAGCTACAAAAAATATGCAGAAATTATAAATTAATAACCTGAAAAGAGTTAAATAATCCAAACCAGTGCTCGCTAGGTAGTCAGGGGACAATTTTCAGTGCCTTCAAGCATTTTGCGCGGTTTGGCAACACCGCTCGCTATTAGCCCGAGAATGGGGATTTTGCGCAAACTATCAAGGTGTTTTTTGTCCTGATTGTAGACCCTGCACACACGAAAAAGTTTGGACACTCAAACGAGGCTCAACTGGCAAACTCGGAAAATTTCGATGCAAGTGGCAACGTGGTCGGTAAGAACTCGGTTTTAGCGCCCAGCTCTTGTTGAAAGAATGCAAGTCCGGCCCTGTCGCCCCTGGAGGGATTGCGAGATCCCGCACCTGCCCTGTTGGTGTTGTCTCTGTCTGACGCATCCCTTTAGCCACCCCTGTCAGGTCACATCAGTGCCTGTCAGCGGGACAGGCGCACAGGGCCGCACTCGGTGCGATTGGCATTTGCCAATTTTGGGGCCGATTTGCGGGAAGTGCTGACGCACGTTGGCGCGCCAGACGCCCATCCACTCGGTTAATCGATGTGTTTTTCCCGATTTTAATATAAACGGATCGATCGATTTAGGCGCGCAAACCTTGAATAATCGATCGGCGGGGCCACGTGGCCCCTTATGGGCGGCGGCCTGATTTATGCCGCCATTTTCGCAGAACAATGGCCCAAGGCCGCGACCTTTTGCGCTCTGGAATGCCATTTATGCACCAGTTGCCAGCGCGATGGCGCCCGGTCAATCACCCAGGCGACGGGTACCTGCTTCGGTGCCTAGCAACCGTCTCGCGCAAGCAGCGAACGTCACAGGGCGCTGTTGCCGTCAATTTTCCTTTGGGTATTGAACCTGGCAGGGAACTGGTCCCTTTAAGGGGCGACCTGAAGGCCATCACTAAATATTTCCGGAAAATTGACGTCTTTCGGCAACCGCGCACTGGGACGTTCGCGCACATAACCTTGGGATGACCTTGCCGGGCTGCGACCTGTCAACCACTGACAGCTGGTTTTCTTTCGGTTTCAGCTGTGGCCATGCACTTCGTGTTCCTGGCCGCCTTCTTCTGGCTGAACACCATGTGCTTCAACATCTGGTGGACCTTCCGGTGAGTACAGTTCGCGCAGTGACGCAATCGGCGTTC